ATTAACTTATCTTTTACGGTTGGCATGCATGGTCTAAAGTCATCATAAAAAGCTTTGCAATTATTTAGTCATGCTGCCGACATATATTCTTAAAGATCCCATGTTGTGATACGATGCTATAAATAAAATGGACTCATCCCGACACCCCTTTTTTCGCAAAATCGTAATATGTACACCAAAATTTTAATTATTATAAACAAAATAACTACGCAATGGGTAGTAAATCTGACTGCAGAAATGATTTCTACACCCAAAAACACATCGGGTAGCCAAGTTTCTCTCCAACATTCCGATTAGTTACCAAGATATCGTCGATTTTCTTACAGAATCTGCTACTGCGTGGTCCACTTTTTAGGAGTATTTTCCTACATGTGGGTCATCCGTATTTTGCCGACCTTTACAACCCCATAACTTTTTTATTTATAAACCGATTTTTAAAATTCAAGAAGCATAATTCTTAGAATTGAAAATTCTTTCTTAGGTACCAAATAAAAAAGGGCTAAAGTGAAAATTTTAATTTTCATTGGCATTGCTATATATATGATATGATGATTTCATGACTTCAAAGGCTCAGCAGTGTCAATCTATAAAATCAAGAATATATTACTTTCATTTTAGTTACTATGCAGACTTCCCGGTGTTGGTTTGATGATAATGATACAAGGGTCTCCGCCTAAACCCACGGTGCTAGGGAAGGTCCCTAATCGAAATGTGTGTTTATACGGAGCATGCATTTACATGAACCTTTGCAAAGGGAGGAAGGGACGAATTCATCCCATTTCATTGATATTTTAGTTACCTTCTTTGGGGGGGAGATCTTGCCTCTATAAATTCTTTCCCCTTTCCCGCCAGAGTCTGTTGGATTTTGTTTTGAGAGTGTTATTATACGGTGCTCGCCGCAAGAATAGCAGACAATAGTACATGAGAGCAGGAGAAAGGAGGCAAAAGGAGAAAATTTTAAAGAGAAAATTTTCCGTCGCTGTCAAGTTTCGAGTCCGGGACATATAGAATGAGAGGGAAACGATGTAACCCCTAGAGATCACGAGAGTTATCCCCCCCCCCTTTCCAAACCACAACAAGAACAACAACTTTCTCCTGCTAACGCCATTTTCTTCTATTCAACGGAAGGACTTCCGTAGCGAGCGACCACCCCTGACCTGACCATCAATGATTTATTTATAAAGGCACCAGCCATCCATGTCCAGGTGCTGTTTTAGCCGAGCGACCACCCCATCAAACACAATAAAGAAGAGGCCTAACCCTAACCCTACCCCAAACTTACCCCTACCCCTAACACTAACCCTACCCCTACGTGACCCCTAACCCTCAATTCTGCTCTGTCTCATATAGTGAATAGTGGTCGCTCGTTATGGAAGTCCTCCCTATTCAACTGATGTTGTCTGACCGTCGGGTGCCGGTGGCGAAAGTGGCGCCAGAGCCAGCAAAAATCGTCATGTCAGGTCTGACCGCCGGGCCCGACATCGGTGTGGGTCTTTAGCCCTTTAAGCCTACGGCAACCTCCAAGGTCCAAAGTTGCCCGAGTTGGGACCTCAAAAGTAAAGGCCTCGAGAAGTAAATGGTTTGTTTCTTTATTTTGACACCCACATTCTTAAGTAGTACCAGAATTAGTAGTAGCAGTAAACTAGATCTAGATCTAGAATCTAGTAGAGATACACTGTGTCACTGTGTCTGTGTGACACAGCACTACTTCGACCAACAAACAAATCAACAAATTTAGATCTAGATTTCTAGATCTAGAAATCTAGTTTTAGTTTGCATTTTTTATTTTTTAGCACCACCAGGTTTTTAGATCAGAAGTGGTCGATTGATTATCTATCTTACCAACAAACTAACCTTCTTCTTCATTTTGAATCTCTTTACCAAACAGCGTATGCAGAAGGAAGTAAATTATTTAGAAATGTGTGAAGACCACAGTTGGCGTCAGTGTTCACTCCTTCTATCAATCTGCGTTCGTCAATCGTCAGTGGGCACTGGTCACCTGTCGACTCTCGGGTGTTTTGTGTCATTGTTTATTTCCGGTTGAGAAGTCATTTCTGCCAGGTTTTTCTGTGTTTTCTAGGAGTGATGCTATGCCAATTAAGCAAAACCTATGTCCGCGATATGGGTTCAACCCCCCCCCCCCAAAAAAAAAAAGAAGAAGAAGAAGAAGAAGAAGATAAATGGGGGGAAAATCGCAAAACAATAGTATTATAGACCCAGCTTATACATCAAAAGTCCTCTCAGAATTTCTTGTGTCATAAGCAGAGTCATCAACAGAATCTTACACTTTTCAATTGTAGGCCCTATTGTTTATTGTTTGATAAAAAAATGAAACTGTTTTTTTTTCCCCCCCCCCCCCCTCCCCACACTCACACACGTGGTGAGAGAGAGAGAGAGAGAGAGAGAGAGGGGGGGGGAATTAGAGAGAGAGAGAGGGGGGGGAAGAGAGAGAGAAAGAGAGAGAGAGAGAGAGAGAGAGAGAGAGAGAGAGAGAGAGAGAGAGAGAGAGAGAGAGAGAGAGAGAGAGAGAGAGAGAGAGAGAGAGAGAGAGAGAAAGACAGAGAGGGAAAGCAGCGGAGACTGGGCAGGAGAGACGGCGAGTTCACACGCAATAATAAATGGAATACTTTGATAAAGGCTCCAGGTTCCATAAATCTTTGTAAAGTATTTTCTCAAAAGCTGTTTCCTCAGTCATTTCCCTTCATCTCCAACGCTCCACGGGTCTCATTAACCGATCGTTTGGCCTAAAAAAATTATATTTTTTTACAACACAACAGCAACTCACAATTAAAATGTTTTAAACTTAAATGAAACAAAACACAGTTGATTTTGAAGGTACAATGCTAGAAGAGTCCTCTTTTATGAAGTAGGTATTAACAGCAACCCGAAATAACGGCCTGAGTAAGGGAGACAATTACCTTAAAAAGTCTTGTTAAACAACAGTAAACAGAAAAACAGAGAAGCCGCTTTAATAAGTGAAAGATAAATCTAGCAAAACTTTTGAATGTCGAAATATAAGGAAATGTTTCAACCTTAGTAAGTCCTTAGAAAGCACATTTTTCCAAATGAACAAAAATGACAGATAGAAAATATTCTAAGCAAAACCATAATATAATATAGTTGTTAGTACATTGACTATATAAAGAAATCGAGATACTAGATATATATGTGAACACGACATGCGGTCATTTGTCACTTCACTACACGTCTTCTGCTCGCAACTATGGCAGCATTCTATTAGTTCATTAAGTTGAGAGCCAAAGATTGTGACTCGTTTATACGTAGCGAATAATGGATCGAACGATGTCACCTTGGAATACTAAATACATGTAAAATAATAAGTACGAATCTTGGATCTTTGTGCATTCATTGCATATCGAATAGTTATTAATATTAAGACAAATAAAGACAGGAATAATTTAATTAATAACAAACCGAGATATCGAATAATCGAATAATGACAGGTTATTCAGACAAAGAGATTATCAAATAACGATAGCGAAATTACTAGGCAAATCGTTTACGGGTATCGATTAATGGTTGGAAAGGGGGTATTTAATAAAGAGCTATATTGATAACTTATAAAGGTATCGAGTTATGACAGAAAATAATGTATGAAATAATGATCTGGCAATATATCGAGTAATTACAAGTAGGTATCGAATAATGAAGGATTAATGACAAGGAGATATCGAAAAACAACAGGAAGAAAGGTATCGACGGTATATAAACGGGCAATGAAATATAGAATAATTACAAGGCATCGAAAATTACCTGGCAGGGGTACAAGGGGATATCGGGAGATAACAGATAGACGTAGGTATCGAATAACGACACCCAGTGAACTAGCTATAATGAAGGGGGCAGGGGGTATCGAATAATGAAAGGGAAAGGTAGGTATCGAATATTGTCCGCGCAAATGAGGTATCGAATATTGGCGGCGCAAGTGAGGTATCGAATAATGAACAGGCATTGGAGGTATCGAATAATGAACAGGCATTGGAGGTATCGAATAATGAATAGGCATTGAAGGTATCGAATAATGAACAG